AATACCTGAACAAAGCTGAATACCACACACACATATACACACACACAATTTATATATATAATTTATATATATATTAGTGAAGCCATAGACTCGAGGCGAGCAACCGGAAAATATATAAGAAATCTGGTCAGAAAAACATTTCACAGAGATATGAAAGGGCGTTTGCTCCTTTTTTATTATTAAGCAGACCTATGGCGTTCGGTTTCAGACCGAAAAACGCTTTTCTTTTTGATAGCAAATCCTCCAGCATAAAAGGAAACATTCTGCCATCGACGCTCCTCCACTTTTTAATGCATCTCGAGGCTAAGTCGGCAACAGTCAGGAAATCGGCATTGCCTGGAAGCACGAAATGCTTATCAGGTGCCTTTTCCCGGGTTGCACGGTGTACCTAACCCCAAACTAACAACTGCATAGCCTTCATTGCCCCTCCAGACGAAAAGAAGACAGCTCGTCCGTTGGCGTGTGGAAACCTGTTTGTGTGGGTTAGCCATCCCCAAAACTGCGGAGTCGGGGATCTTATCTCCACACAGGGTAGCTCTTCTGTACATTCTTGACTTGGCCGGCAGAGGGCGCTTTGCAGAGCGAACAAACCCCGGCAGCCGATCTCCCTCAGCCGGGCAAGGCAGCCTGCCGTGACGCGGGCGAGCGAGGGTGCGCGCGCGCTTTCTCCGTCTCACCTGCCCGGGCCACGTTCCGTACTTCCACCCCTCCCGGGGGTGGGGCAGAGAGGCGCTTGTTCGGGCGGGGCAGCCGAGAGTTCTCCGAGGCGAGATGGCGGAGTCGGCAACCCCCGCCGCTGCCGCCGTCCACCAGTGGAGCGAAGCTTCTTCCGCCGCCGAAGCAGGTGCGTCCACTCTTTCTCCCGCTCCCTTCTCCCCTTTCCCAAACCGGTGGCCCAGAAAGAGGCGCACCTGGGGATTGCAAGTCCCTTCCCTTTCCGGAGACCGGTTCGTCCGGGACCCTATCCGGATGTTATGCAGAAGGCGGAGGGCGCAGATACTTGTAAACACCAGGTGCGCTCCGAGCTGGTGGCGCGCCGGTCATTCAGCAGGGACAACGCAGCGGCGGCGCCTTATTGTGTTATGTATATATATTATTATATTATATATATATATAGGGAAGGCGAGAGCTTTCCACAGCAGCAGCAAGTTTCGAGGATGGGAGGAGAACTGACCCTCCGTTGAATTGGTGATGGTGATGGTGATGATGGTTCGTGGTTGCGATCGCTTTGCAACTTTATTGTTAACTCGAACGGCGATGCTTTGGATGTCATCATCGGGAATATTTTTTATTTTTTTTTAAAAAAAAAAGCCCAGACTAAAGGAAAGTGTGAATATTCAAAGGGAATTAATGGCTTCCCGAATGAAGGCAAATATACCGGAATAATAATTGCCAGGATCCGATCTGGGTCAGTCCCGGTTGACAGACCCAGATTGGATCCTGAATTAATGGCTTGTGTGACAGAAGCCCTGGAATAGGGGTTGTTGGTTCCATCTGCTGTCTCTCCCCCCACCCCCAAGGTATCTTAAGCCTTGATGAATTAATTCAGTAGGCTACAGTCTTCTATTGCCAGGACAGGGAACTCAAACCTATCGGAAAATATTTCTGTACTACCTTGTCTTGTGCCTCTTAAAGGAAGGCCTACAGAGGAACTGTCAAATCCAGTAGGAATTCCTTCTGTTTGTTGTCTAAGATGTTGGATAAGATTCCCATATTTCAGTGGAATCTTAATATTTATTTTGGTCAAATCTTTATTTCAATGGAATCTTAAAAGAGTGGAATTGTAATGCAGTCTTCCCTGTTATTGATTCTTGAAAAAAAGGGCAAGTTGTGTAAACAATTTAGAAAAGGCAGAGCTGTTTCTCCTGAAATTTGCCACCTCTGTTCAAAATCAGGCTTGCATACAGCTTTGTAGGAGGAAGGTAATTAGGAGAGCAGACACCTGTCATTTGCATTGAATTGGCCATAATTCCCTAAAAAGGAATATGGTATAATATGCTTGTGACTGAGTCCTGTAGGTGGAGCAGTGGCTTTATCCTGCCATGTTGTAATGCTCAAGATGACTTGGCATGGATAATAAAACCTAATGTCTCTCTGGTGCAATTTATATTTCAGTGTCATCACCTGATCTTTTGAAAGGAATTGTGGCCTTGAGGTTGGTTCATCCTTACCGTCACATGTGATTAATTTCCCCATACAAGCAAATCAGCTTTATAATTCTTCCCATAGAAACCATCTTTATCACAGAAGATGTCACAGCTCCACAACTGGCTGTTCACAACATACACATCTTGAGATAGACAGGACCGCCGTGTCTGGGGTACAAACATTCAAAATGAGCACTTTTTGTATTCTTTGCTGCCTTCTAGTGCCTGACTGTGGTTTTTGCAGCCCAGATATGGAAAGCTTACTTCTAAACCTATTTACTTTGTTTCTTTTTCTTCTTGTTCTATTTAATCTGGCACCATTCAGACATTCTAGTACAAGCAGCCTTAACTGTGAGAAACAACTTTGTAGTGAGTCTGCTGAAGACTACATATTCATTTGCCCCCTCACATCTTCCTTGTGGGCTTCTCAATGAATTTGAATAGATACTCTGAAGAAACATGAGAATAGATTAGAAATGGTTTTCATTTTAATTAATGAACCGGGTGTTTACAGACTTCATTCTAATCTCTGGCTTTACAAGAACATAAGTAATATTTTTTACTGACACAAAACTTCAGATTTTCAAAATTTGGAATATAAAACCCAGTCAGATTTATGTGGAATATAAAATCCTGTCAGATCCTCCACTCGCAACTCATCCTTACCCCATAGATTTATGGCTCAGTAGTGATTCACAACACCTTTTGCTTTTGGTACCTTTGCATTTAGTTTTTAAAATATTTATATAGTGCCCTAGTTTAGGTCATCAGCACTAGGATCTTGTGCTCATTTTTTTGTTGTTGCAAGGTTTGTTTTATCTTAGTTGATAGTCCTTGGAGAGCGTAAGATTTTAGCACAGCAGTTTCTACAGAGTGTGGTTAACCAGATTTGAAAGCTTTCTGCTAAAAGCGAGTATGTGTTTTGCATTCAGACAGTGTGTATGGAAATATATGCATGGATAAATTGCTTGGAATGACTCATAGTAATAAATTTGGACTTGAACCCAAAAATACAATTATCAAAGCTGTGCATACTGTGTGTGATTAATGATTGGACATTTTAATTTGTGCTAGCTTTCAGAACAGAAATAGCCAATTCCATGTTCACTATGTTCACATTTTAAGTGTGGCTAGCATTACAGATGGTTTGGGTATCTTTGTATTTCCGTGTTTACTCCTATTCATGCCAGAATTATATTGGTGAAATCAAATATTGAAGTAAGCCTTGCCTTTGTCATTCACTGTTTTATTTGTGCGCTGTTCCATGCTTTGGGAAGATTTTTAATTTTGGCATACAGAAAATGTATTATCATTAAATAAAATACAGTCATTTTCTTGAAACAATTTCCAGAGAGGTTGAAAATAAAGTTTTCAATAAGAGTGTTTAGGAGAGGGAAGGTAATATAATGCAAATAAAAATCAATACATCTAAGAAAGCTCTTCTCATCCAATCAGGTAAATAATTATAACTTTTAGTTTGCTATTTCTGTTCATTACATACAGTAGTCAAGCCATATTTTTTTTAATGAGAAAGAGAAGTCTTGCCCACTGCTGTGATTCATTTCATGTCAAACAAAGTATAGTAGCTGCTAGTATAAATATGATACAAAATGTAGAAGTCCTTGCACAGAGAGATTTCAACTCACTTTTGGATAGATGAAATAGGAGGTGAATGATATAGAAAAGTATATTGTAATGGCATGAGACAATGAGATGTCATATGACTTTGGTGAAAAGGCTGATGGTTGGAAAAGGAAAGACTTTCAGAAAAGGCTTTTGCTCAAGATTTCTTTAGACTAGTGTCAGGAATCAAGTTATATAGTGGGAGAGCCTAATAATGTTATTAGCCCTTCAGAAAGAACAGAAATGGAACTAGGGCATAAAGATAAGATTCACACTTCCTTTTTTTCTAAAATTCTTCATGTGGAAAGAATGAGAGGTTAATTCTGCCAGTTACAAGTATGCATTAATAACCTGCTGTTATGCAGAGTTAAATACCCTGTGATTCCTAACAGTGCATAGCATTAAGCTGATAAATAGCTTGTTTTTCTGTGTTTTCAATGCCTATCTTCAGAAGTAGATGAATCTGAAAACCAGTATCAGGGGAAGCAATTCGGTAAGCATTTACATTTTGGGATTTGAAATAATTTTAGCTGTGTATCAGTATATATGATCCATCCAAAGTAGATTCAGTTAAACTTGTATCTAGAAAAGCTGACTTCTCAGTCCTGGTGATCCTTTTCAAAATGAATGTTCATCTGCATCACTGGGCTTTGTGAAAACTGAAGACTCTAGCTATACTTTGCTATGTAAAATATGGTGGTTGGGAATCTGGGAATACTGAAAAGCTAAACCCTAGAAGGCTATCTGAACCTGAATAGGTTGTTAGCATGTCCAGTCACCCATTATCCACTGCAGAAAGGCCTCAACTATGACATAGAACAGGGGTCTTCAAACTTAACAGCTTTAAGACTTGTGGACTTCAACTCCCAGAATTCCTCCTCCAGTCATGTTAGCTCCAAAATTCTGGGAGTTGAAGTCCACAAGTCTTAAACTTGCCAAGTTTGAAGACCCTTGACATAGAAGATGATGCTAATCAATTAGAATTCTTAGCAGCCTTAGAAGCAGCATTTAAAACTATATGGCTTGACACAGAGACACAACAAAACACGAGGTAGACATCACTCCTCAGAGCAGAAGAACATAATATCGGAACCAACTCATAGCAGAGAACAGAACAGCTGTCAGAAACCTAAAGAAAAATCAAAACATTATCCTCATCCCAAAAGACAAAGCTGAACCATATTTATTATGGAGAAATCACAATGCATTAAAAAGCCAAATAATTATTGAAAGACAAAGAAACCAAAGCACCTGGTGGCAGGAGAAGAAGTAATGGGTGGAAACTAATCGAGGTGAGAAGCAACTTAGAACTAAGGAGAAATTTCCTGACAGTTAGAACAATTAATCAGTGGAACAACTTGCCTCCAGAAGTTGTGAATGCTCCAACACTGGAAGCTTTTAAGAAGAGATTGGACAACCATTTGTCTGAAATGGTTTCCTGCCTAAGCAGGGGGTTGGACTAGAAGACCTCCAAGGTCCCTTCCAACTCTGTTATTCTATTCTACTCTAAACCTACATCCCACCCAGTAAACACCAACCCAATATACAAACCAGACAACTTGATAAAGAGAATCCTTAACAACCTAACTGAGAAAGGTCAAATCACAAAAGGACAGTGATAGATAAAAAGCTGTGAATCCATTCCCCATGATTCTGAGACACCCCAAAATACGTAATCCTGACACACCTCTTTGTCCAATTGTATTGCTACCAGCAACCCCAATGTACAACATAGTTAAAGAATTTACAGAAGGAGCAAATATTCTATCAATTCTCAAGTACAGTGCTTCCAGAAAATCAAAGACCTAATAATAGAAAAGGATGGTGGTTTCATTCAATGTCACAGCATTTTTTATACCTAAAACCCAAAATTAACAAAAGAAGTCATGGCAACAGTACTTAACAACTCACCCGATCTAACCAAATGCACTAAAATTTAAATACCCATAACCATGGACCTCATCAATTTCTGCCTTACTACCTACTTTCAGGTTGATATACAAATACGCCACCAAATCAGAGGAACCCCCATGGGATCACAACTCTCAGGATTCATAGCAGAAACTGTAGTGCAGATTTAAATCAAAACAGAACACTATACCACTCCCATGTATACAACCCAAAGTATGGATCTGGTATGCAGACCACACCTTTGTCATATTAAAACAGGAACAAGTAGAGAAGACACATGAAACAATCAACAACATCTTCAAAGGAGTAAAATTCACACTGAAAGAAGACAATAGCACACCACTCTTTCTGGATGTCCTCATAAGCAGAAGAAATGATGGGAAGTTTAGAAAGATATATCTATTCAAAAATGAACCACACTAACTAAGTACTCATGTACCCAAATAACAACTCAACTTCCCACAAGAGGAGCTGTGTAAGAACATTATTCAGATAAGGACAAATGCATTGCAGCAACACAGAACACCAGAAAAAGAAAATATACAACATATTTCAACAAAGTGGTTATCCAAGCAGTTTTATCCAAAGTCAACCTACTATAGCAAAACAAACACAAACTATGATAAAGATAACACTGCCATACATCAAAAATATCTCAGAAACAATCCACAGACTATTATAACCAGCATCACCATGGCATACAAACCAATTCAACCTGTCCAAAGTATTTAAGTAACCAAAAGGCCTGGCAGCCCAGGAAGAAAAAATAGGACACACAACATACAGTGTGAGGACTATTGCAGCCATTATATAAGAAAGACAAACAGAAGAGGTAGCAGAACACATCAGAAGCATGTCAGTAGACACAATGAAAATTCCTTAATTTCACATGGACAGACTTAACCATAGTTTCAATCAGCAAACTGGGAAGCATCCTAGTCCAAGCGAAATCTAAAAATGTTGGAAGTTCCTGGAAGCTTGGCACTCAGACAAACCAGCCATCAATTCAGAGATAAACAATATGTACACACCATTCAGAAGAGACAAAATAAAAAAGCTAAAAAAGAAACAAAACGACAGAATACTTCCTCTCCATCAATCAATATCTAGATAAGCAGGAATTAACTCAAGGATTAACAGCAGTCAGCAAGCAGCAATCAATACCCTAATCAAGGAACTACTTACTCAGACAAACAAGCAGAAAACAACAGCCTAAACAAGGAAGTACCAAGGTAAAAACAACACCCCCACCAACATTGACTGGTTACTGCACATAAATAGAAGGTAAACCCTACTCCCTCCTAGCACTGAAATTATTAGCTAGTTGGCTAATGAAATGCCTGCAAGCAAACATCCATACTCAAAGAGCACCAAGGACATATTTGTTCATGGGAACATCCATTTTAACAAGCTTCCACTTGTCGATATTCCCACAAGAGGGGAAGGGAAATTTTATCTATTCTCCCTTCTTCTTGAAGTTTCTTTTGTCTTCCAAAAATGTTGGTGGAATAGTATTAGCAATACAGCAGAAAACACTTAAGAAATTTAAAGAGACTTATAAACAGGAAGACAGATGGAATGTTAGGGAAATTTCAGAACAATAAGATGGTTTGACAGTGGTCTTAACTATTTTAGAACATTGTTGGGATTTCTTTGCTGGACGCCTTTAAACAGAAACTTAAAAGCTGCAGGACATTTTAATTTCTATGTTGTGCAGCAAGTTGCAGTCAAAAGCCTAAATATGTTGTTTCATATTTGATGAAAGTAAAAATTGCATCTTCATGTGTGGCTCTGCTTTGATTTAATTTCATGCCTCTCATTACATGGTAGCTAATGCATTTAAATTCTTACAATGATATGCAGAATAGTAAAATCTATTTCTTTGTAATTCTGTAGTAAAAGCAGCTTAGGTTTTGTTTTTGATTTGATTAAGCTTCTCTTGATCCCAGCTTACTGTATATACATGTCTTTTGTTAATGGAACATTTTGAGAAAAAGCAAATACAACCATATTAAACAAACTAGCCTTCATCCAGTGAATGCTGGTACCCATTCTAAAGGGGGAGGGGAACATTTCAACTTAGAAAGTGAAAGTCAGATGGATTTCGCTAAACCCAGTGAGAGCATTTGGAATTTTGAAGGATGCTATGAATGCCTTTCAGAAGAGCTGTAATCCTGATCTTGACTAGGGGTGCGGGATATATGAATTAGAAAGCACCGATTTTCCCCAAAAGCTGCCTGTTATTTCTTGATGCTATTCTTGTTTACTTTTTTATTTATTTGTTTTCTGGGCATGCTTCCTAACCTAGGACTGGGCTGTAATAATTTATCATTTTTTATTTTCAAAGAAATGTATAATGAGGCCTATTTTGATGCCTAAGTCATCCTTGGAAATAAAAACGATGCTGAAGGCTAAGGCTGGCATTTTGCTTTACTTGCATATTATTATATATTGTATAAAGTTGTATACAGTCAGGTGCAGTGAGGAAGCTGGTGGGCACCAAAGTAGGTTAGATACGAACTCCTAAATTATGCAGTGGTTTCCATAACAGTCTGATTTAGCTTTTATATTAGGAATTGTGGTTTTGCTGTGATATTACGGTATGTGTTTGAGCCAGAGTGAGAAAATTCATGTTATTCATACGCTGATGTCACAAACACTTCTCCAGTTCCTAGAGCACTTTTGTAATGCTTTGTAACAGTTCTAGGGTTTTTTTTATAAAGAAAGTGAAGAGGTAATGAACGAACATCACATGTTGTCTTTGAGTTACGACTATACATTCAGCAACTGTTTGAATTTATGATTGCACTAATCAAAGGGACTAATGACAGGTCTTGGAAGTTCCATCCATTCCAGTGTCCCTGGAGTCATACGAAACAAAATTTGGGCACTTGGCAGTCAACTTGCCCTTGAAAATGTTTGCAGTATCATCCATTCACGTGATTGCTGTCGATTCTCAAAACGACTCTAGCTGAAGACATATTTTTCTTGCTTCATTTCGTAGTTGCCATACTTATGGGGGCGGGGGGGGGGGAAGGACTTATGGAATGTGGAATGTTTTCCTCCAATGTGCCAGACATAACAACGATAAGGCTTCTGAGAACCAAGGCCAAACTAGCAAACTAGCAATGGCAGGAGGGAGTGCTGGGTTGGCTAACGTGACCTGTGACACGAGAGGTGGACAGTAACTATTCTTTAATTATACCAAAAACGTGGGAATTATTCAGTGTTGGTTTCAATGTTGACCGTGCCGATATGATATACCCAATAAACTGGATTTTTGAGGAAGCCAAGGCCTCAGAGTCTTGAATTGGTTGGGAGCATTCCTTGAATCCTTGACAATTGCCATTGTTGACTTTCTCTATTGCTTCCCACAAGCAAAGTCAATAAAGAGGCCAACAGGGAAGCCACAAGTTACTTAGGTAAGTGTCCCCCTCTGCCTTTCTTTGTTCACACACACAGTACCCGCCTCACCCCTTTGCTTACTCTCCAGTGCCTTCTTTCCCTTGCTTCCCCGCCTTCACACACAGCCATGCACCCACCAACACCCTCTTTCATCCCGGCCTCTGCTTGCACGCACATATCCTGCATCTTCTTTTCCCAGCCTCCCTGCACTCACATACACATATCCATGTGATCAAAATTCAGATACTTGGCAACTGGTTCGTATTTATGACCATTGCAGTGTCCCAAGGTTATGTGGTCCCCTTTTGCGACCTTCTGACGAGTAAAGTCAATGGGGAAACCAAATTCACTTAACAACTGGGTTACTAACTTATCAACTGAGGTCTCACTTAACAACAGAAATTTGGGGCTCAATTGTGGTTGTAAGTTGAGGATTACCTGTACACTATGCTTTCTTTCCCCAGCCTCCCTGCACTTGGATACATGCATGGATGCACCCTGTACTTTACGCAACCTTCTGGAGCTCATGCCAGTCCCCTCCAACTTGCATACAGTGTGCTTCAGGTCTCCAAGGGCCTCCCCAATCCCTCTGCAGCACACCCAGACTCCTTACCTGAGACTCCTTGTCATGCTTCTTGCTTATTGGTCCACATTTTCCTGGTGGTTACAATGACAATCAGGTCTGCCTGGATTGCTGTCGCTAAGTGATGTGATCATACAATGTCATGCTTTACGATTGCATTGCTTAATGATGGCAATCTCAGTCCCAATTGCCATTGTAACTCAAGGACTATTTGTGTGGTGTTTTATAGTTCATGACAGATACGAGCAATCCCGATATAATTGTGTAGCTAAGCTCACATGTAACATTAAGGCAAGGTGTTTGCTTGACTGCTGTCATTAAAGATAATTTGCTGTGTTAGTTACACTAAGTTTAGAAACAATTGTGTTAGGCCTTATAAACACTGTCGACATTATAGCTGCATGGGTTGCAAAAATCTAGATCAGGGCTGTCAAACTCGTGGCCCATGAGCCGGATGTGTCACGCGCTGGCCATACCCACGCCCGGTTTAGCGAAGGGGGGAAAAGTTGTGATACATCATGTGACAACACCATGACGATGTGAGTTTGCACCCCTGATCTAGATAACCACAATCTGGAAGTAATAGAGATCCAGAGTCCTAACTCTGCTAATATCTAATGGAGAACAAGCAACACCATTCAGAAATTTATCTGGATTTTTGCAGTACACTAAGACAAATTAAATGGACCACATTATAGAATGTGAACCTGTTTGTCAAGTAGATTATGAGGGCAGAAGAAAGTGTCATTCATCCATTGGGAGGAAACCTAGTATAACTTCTCTTTATGTTAGGATGATCTGTTCTTTTGTTCCACAGTTACAACTTTGGTGATGCAATTTTTGTAAAGCAATACTGAATTTTTGGAATATAATATCCAATCAATAGATGCACTGTTACGCTTGGAGAATAAATGCAGCTTACCGTTTTGGGTTTATTTAAAATGAAGCAAGTGCAGTAAATATAAGAAGATGTGTAATGAATATTTTCTTCCTGTTAATATAAATCATTCAGTGAATGCCTAAAACAGAGATCGAGCTTTTCGTCTGAAGTCATAGATTTGGTAGTATGGGAAATTAGTCAGAAATTAATACAGAAAATACAACTGCAATATGCTTCAGAATTATATTTCTCGTTTTATGTTCAGTCATTGTGTTTGGGTGTTGGCACAGTATTTCAGTAGGCACTGACAGAGCCACAAGATGGAGCTACTGGCAAACAAAATTCTATTAGAACAAGAGGAGAAAATGTAGTTTCAGAGTAGAAGGCAACAAACCCTGTCAATGTGTTGCATCCATACTGTTTTCTGGAGAACAGTGTAGAAATGATTTGCTTTTGAAATGTTTTTTTAACTTCTTACTGTAGTCCACAACTCTAGTATTTCCTGTAGTATTTTACCCAACTACTCAGTAAACCTGACTATACATCGCTGGTTCCAACCCAGTTGATAATCACCTAGGTGAAAAAGAAAGCTATTCCTGTAAATTATATATGCCATTCTTCTTCTTTGTGAGCTACAGAAATGAGTCTGGTTAGTTTTAGCTTTATTTTTGTCTTAACAGTAGGCTCTTTTATGTTCAACACTTTTAGATCAAGTTGGAGAAATTCCATTAACTTAAAAGCCATACCAAGCATACTCTGATTGGCTGGGGCCATGCCATACTCCAAAAATGACCATCTCTCTCTCCCTCTCTCTCTTTCTTTCCCCCTCCCTCCCTCCCTCTGTTTGTGTGCATAGAGTTTTGGCATCTTGGCTCTAGTCTAGAACACAGGTAGACTCACCTTAGGCAATCCAAGGTAGGGATTGTGGGAACTGAACTTCAACTTGTCTGAAAGGCACCACTTGAAAAAGGTGTGGAACTGTCTGTTTATTGCAAGTCATGTTGAAAAATCAAATTAATATGGGGTAATGCATAAACAATTGTTTAACAACTTACTAATGGAAGGTTCAATTAGTGTAGAACAGAAGTCTCCTACCTTAATGAAATCTGGTATCTATTTTGTCTGTTTTGTATGTTAATGATAATTGTTATCTTAAGGCTTAGTTCTAAAATGAATATAGCAACAATGTAATTTTATATGTATGCAATATTTGCAGTTTCTAGTAATGTCAAGAACAGAACAAATCACTACCATTAACTCAAATAAGACAATTGAATGGTACAAGACCAGTCAAAATAATTTTTTTGTCCTTCATTAATGAGAACATGTACACACATTGCTGTTGATCTTACCATCTTGTCCATCTTGTTTATTTTTAAAATGATATTGTAAAACTCAGGATTTAAAAGAAGATTTTAACTTAAAAAAAACCCACATACAGTACATATATACAAAAAAAAAACTGACAAACATTTTTTTCCTTTCAGTTCAGGGCCCCAAACTTGGATATAGTACAGGGTAATGGGTTATAGCTATGTCCTATTTTGAAAGGGGTCTTTGTTATCTACCGGTAAAGAAAATCTTTGGTGATAACTTGAGGAGATCACTCTACTTTTAAAAAAGTACATTCAAAGTGAAGGATTAAACCCTGAAGCAGTTGTTCAGTTGT